TTTCTCGTCATTCGCGTAGCACTTTCGGAAATAGCATCGCTAACTTTCCTTTTCTTATCAGGCGAGGACGCTCTAGCAAACTTGAGCATCGAAAAGGAAGGCGAAGACGGACCCATTACTGGTTTCTTGAGGATACGCAGCAGATCGCAAGGGTTGGCCCTCAGTCTTGGCTCCCTCAAGGCATTGAACAAGATTGGTTCTGCCGCTTGAACAGATTTTCTCTCGGGCTAGATGAGATGAAAATGATGATGTATGGGGTGATTGGGAGGGTTGTATAGCGATTAATTCATCACTTGATATTCTTTTCACCCTTGTGGTATTTTCAGTCGTTGTTATCATAGTCTTTGTTACATTTCCACTAGTTGATGCTTGTGAGAGATCCGGCGAGACTCATGTCACTCTCTTTTTTTCTGCTCCGATTAATGGCAAAAATGTAAAAGGTTTTCGACATATCGTGTGATGGATGAGGAAGACAAAAGCAGAGGATGAACCCAAAAGCAGGATGAGCTATCTAGATGAAAAAATCAGATACAGACGCAGAATCAATTCTTGATGGAAAAGCAGCCAGGTGTGATTAATGCCATCGTCAGTCATCAGTCAGTGGACTTCTAAGACAAGCTCGAGCAAAAATGCGCATTATTCTCATTCATATATAGTTACCCATAACTTCGTCCACCGTTCATTCCATCACTCATTCCCTCCATTTCCTGCGGTCTCTTATCCATCCCTTTCTCCATGGCATAATTATGCCATACGACCCTTCCCCCCAGCACAAACTTGGGTACAAAAGTAAAAATTAAACAGTAGTAAAAGTGAAAAGTAGAAGGTAATTGCATAGGCCATGTGCTGCCTGCCTGCCTGATTGCGAATTATGACGAAAAAAACTAACATTAGCAGTACGTAGGTAGGTGAAGAAAAAAAAAAAAAGGGGGTATAAGTAAGGTATCGTATGCGGTATATGACGTGGATTTGTCTCCGCCATTAACCATGACATATGAAAAAAGTCTTTGAAGATGTCCTCCCAGGTGTCCTGTTGATGCAAAATAGGGAAATGGTATCATATTCGTTCTTAAAAGGAAGGTGATGAATATTATCACATGTGATATGATGTAGACGGGGTGGTGCCCGGAACGCGGCCGTTCTCGTTAAAGCGGGGCCGGTTTATTTATGTGGTTGAAGGGTGTCGTGACATTAAGGTATAGATAGGTAGGTAGGTATTCTTGTTGAAATGTTGGAATGACTCGGCGCTCATGGATTGGCGGTGCTGTCGCCGTTGCGCTCTTCGGCGCCGGCGCAGTGTTTTGGGGTCGGTTAGTTGTCTTGGAATGTGAGGAGTGAGGAAGGACCAGCCAGAAGATGCCAGTCAGCAACCCCATACGCCCCCTACTGTGCCCTCTTTACTGAGGCATCGTATTGACTCGCCACAGCTGTAGCGATAGAAAACGGTCAAAAGCGACTTGTTGCTGCTGCTGCTGCTGCGGAGGAGGCTGTTGTCGACTGGAACTAGCCGTGGCCGTATTCGCCGCGGGATGTCGGTGTTCTCTCCTGCTTCTGGAGGGGGGAGACGGAGGTGGATTGGTTATGGCGGAAATCATTCTGTCAAACTCCGCTGGTTCACAATGTGGCTACCGATTGAAAACCAGGGCATTGACAATGGTTCCTTGTTTCCAGCCTTGGTCAGGGAGGGTGGATGTTTCTTTGAGGACCTTGCCCATGTAGGCTATGCGGATCTTTTTGTCTGAGGAGAGCTGTAGCAAACACAAAAAGAAAAAAGAGCCTGTTAGCTGTTGTGCCGCATAGAGGTAGCAAAGAAAAGAAGGAAAGAAATCGTACCTTTGCGTTCTCAGCAACCTTCCTCCCAAGAACCCGTACCGAATCCCCTCTGTCGACTTGCACAATAACATCCCTGCTCCCATCACTCAACCTCACCCTGACAGTGATCAAATCTTTGACATTCACCACCGTTTTGCCTTTCTTCCCCCTGTGATGACGCTCGGAGGAGGAGCAGACCTCATCACCACCATTTTCCAAAGCCTCCTGGCTGGCGCCCTCGGTAACTTCTTCATTGGCTACTGACACAGCACCCTTGGTATCTGTATTCGCGTATCCTTCCTCATCTTCATCGGCTTCCATGGAGGAAGATGGTCGACTCGTCGAAATATTCGTAGGATCTGAAACAATGTGTTCCGGGAGCGAGTAATGATTTCCTAGTAAATCGTACGCTCCTCCCTGTGCCAAGTTGCCGGTGGGAAGCGTGATCTCGGCGGCGTTGAGGATGGTTTGAGCGGTTGCTAGGGCTATTTCCCTGCCGTTGTCGTCGTCGTCCTCCTCCTCCTCCTCCTCTGCACCGCTGCCACGTCCTTCACCTTGGCCTTCTTCGCCTTCGTAGTCACTTGGTGCCGCAAGCGTTCCATCACCATGCTGCGCAGCCGCAGCCGCATCCACCTGCTCCTGATGCCACAAAATCTCCAGCGCGGCGTGAATGGCCAGCCACACCTCCTGCCTGCCCGTGACTCTAGTATCAAAGAACTCGGTCCGCTCGCGGTCCAAAGCTGCGCGCGTCCATACTGTGCCATCACTTGTCCACTCGTGCCGCTTTAGGGGTTTGTTAATATGTTGGGAGAGGTTTCGGGAGTGGCGGCGGCGGCCTCGGTCTCGATCTCCACGATCATCTCCACGGTCACCACGATGCTGAGAAGAACGGCGACGATGACTCCGTCGTCGTTGTTCTCGTTGTTCACCTGGTTGCTGTTGTTCTTGTTGTTCTTGTCGTGGTTGGTGAGAGAATGTTGTTGCCCCTGAAGGAGGGTGAGAAGTAAGGGGTTGTCGATCATCACTGGTTACTGACGAACCGCCTCCTATGCCGCGGAGTTGTGACCCTGCTGGTGTTCCAGCTGCTGTTGTGGGAGCTGGCGAGCCTCCAGCATCTAACTCACGGCGGTTGATTGCTCGGGAAGAACCTGAAATCCTAGAGGTGCGGCTGCCGGCTGGGTATGGGGCTATTACGCCCTCCTCCTCGGAGGACCTGGATATGCAGCAACCCTACACAAATCAAAAAGGAAGAGACAGAAGTACGAGTTAGAAACTTTTGAATAAAGATGTTGGGATAACAGTGGAGATTGGATTGGATTAATAGGTAGGATAGGTAGGTAGATAGTCGTGATACACACCATTTTCTTTCTTTTTTTACCGTTTGAGACTGGATGGATGAACCGGATACGCCGCTAAATCCAACAATGTTCACTTCTTTCTCTTCCTCTCTCTCTCTGTTTCGGATATTGGATATCTGAATTAACTTTGTTTACCTTTCCCCCCTTTTTCTTTCTTTGTCTTTGCCTGACTGACCAGACCCTTCAACAACCTTTAACCGTTTTCACTCTCCTGCCTAAGTGCCACCGCTCGCTCGGGTTATACCAGCCGCCGGGATAGCCAGTTCATGACGGCCCGAGCCGGCGATTGGCCTTGAAGGCGCCAGCGAATGTTGTCGTTTCGCAACGCGCAGTAGGCCGTTTGAGAGTTTTGCGCCGGTTGAAACAATGGATAAATAAGCACGAGGCGGTATGCACCAGGCAGTGCCGGGAGTGGATGTTTCCCCTGAATGGGCGCAGTATCGTCCCGTCCCGTCCTTCTCGAATGTCTTACTTGTCGGGTCTCGGCCAGTTACCTTCGGATCTGCCCTTGGCCCCTTATGTTCGAGATCGGGAGCCTCGCTGGATATTTCAAGGGCGAACAAAATGAGGCAACAAAGGTAAGGTTGAACGTGGTGCCAAAGTCGACGTATAGTTTTCAAGTTGACGACTTTTTCTCCCCTTTCCTTTTGAACTGTCGGAAGATGAGCTTCGACTCTGGCAAAGCTCCCCCTGTTCGCCCGTTGAAAAGCTCCTCCGATGCTGCACGTCTCGCTCTCGGCAGGCAGGCACTTGTGGTGTGTTTGATGCTAAGGTGAACCCCCGCAGGCAGATCTGTTGCGTGGGGTTTACATATGCACTGTAGGGGTCCCCGTCCCTGACTAAAGTTGCTGATGCGCGGCCTGCTAGCGTGGTCCGGCCAAGTCTGGGGCTGCTACCATAAGTCCTTGCTACACTACATAAGGCGTTTCTGGGCGATGTCGCGGTGAAGAGGGCTTCGTTTCACACCCTTGAAGTGGCCGGGGATGGTGGTTGGTGGTTGGCGATGTCTGAGGTTGTACCTCGGCCGTTGACTGGTTGAACAAGTTCAAGCTTTCGTAATATTGGGAGGCGTTAATGGAAATTGGAGAAGATTGGAATTCTAGATTTCTACCATCCCTTTGCGATGTCGGGGTAAGGAGCGGGGAGATGGATAGATTCATGAATGCACTAGACCAGGACTAATAAACTTCATGACGACCACAGATAAGAGCCTCAAGACAAACAAGTTCATGACATGAGAGCATGACGTTTGAGGGGGGACTTTGTCATTGTGATGCGATCCCGCCCCGTTACACTGTCGGCCCGGTAAGATCATGGCAACCTAGCCAGGGGGGAAGCTCGGTCGTTACCTAAGAGCCCGAGCTCCCTCCCCTTCATCCGCCTCCAATTCCCTGATCTGACTACCGATCTAGTGTAGATGGCGCAGACCCCCTTAACTCAATCCGTCTTTTCCTGCATCGACAGGAAGGCTGAGTCGTCCTAGCAGCGCACCCGAGTTGAGCATCATCCATTCATTACAAATATGGCTCAGCCCAACGATTAGTGTAGGGCGCAGTAAAAAGACCAGTATTGCCGTGTCCCGCACGATGTCTACAGGGCGCTGTTGAGGTACAGACTTGATCACGCCGACTTACACAAGTTCTCTAGAGCGACGGATGCTTGGTGTTGCAGTCGCCTCACTGCAACGGTTGCATTAGCTCTGCAAGTGGTAGTCTAGGGCATACGAACGGCAAGTCAGGCCACCGGATAAAATATGGGTTTGCGGGGAACGCATCGTCAAGTGATCTTTGGCGACACCACAGGGTTTTTGTGAGTTAACATGTTCCCCCTTTACCACAGATAGCCTCTGCACTTGGCAGTTCCGCAGAGACATTTGGTCATCTCCGAGATCTTTGATGGGTCATGCGCGTCGCTTTCGAGCCCTGTCAATCCGTTGACATAGTCGAATGTCAACTCGGTCCCCTTGGGGATATCCTTGATGGCGAACAGGGCAAGGTCGTGAATATGCTTGTCAGCGTGATCGCCCACCCGCGCAAAGATGGCCATATTGGGGTCGCAGCTGTGGTTGATGAACCTGGTAGGGCCACTCATATACTCGCCGTCAACCTCTAGCGGCTGTCCGGCCAGCAAGGGGTCTAGTGAATCCGGATCGGAAAACTTGTCGAGGGCAAACAAGTAGACATCCTTTCGTCTAGCAATGGTCGATTCAGCTCGTCGCCGGTCGGCCTCCTCGCTGGTAATGATTTCGCCCAAGTACCGGTCCACGAACTGCCCCCTCTTGATATTGACGGGACATTTGACGCCCCAGCCCCTGTCTTTGGTTCTAAAGATCTGTAAGGGCACGGTCCGGCCACGCTCTACCACCCGGTTTGGGCAGTCCTTGGAACAGGCGCAACCTTGGTGGCACTCGTAGATGGGCTCCTGGGATTGCAAGACCCTATCACGCAATAGTCCCTTTTTCGCTCCTTGAGAGTAGTAGGCAAATCGCTTCTTCCGGGTGTAGGGATCAGCTTCCTCGTCGCTATCTGGCGCCATCTCGTCGAGACACTGACATGTCGAGTACATGCACTCTTCATCGCTAGCGCAGGAGCAGCCTACTCGGAAAGACTGGTCGGCCACGGGAACGTTTTTGCCTATGATGGAGTGGTCGATAAAACGGAAGTTGGGGTTGAGAAAGGCGTCGTCTTCGCGGTTGACGATGGAGATGGGCAGCTGCGCATGGGTTGCGAAGGATCGGATCTGGCACCAGTGGCAATTCTTTTTCTCTTTTGGGTTGGCCTAGTTTATCAAAGACAAGTAAGTCAGCAGGATTCAAGCTGGCCTCGACTTTTGTTTGGATGTGGGATGCAGTTGGATGACTTACATCTGGCTTCCCGTGGTTGAAGAAGTGAGGGCGGAACGCTTTCTCCATCTTTGCGTAAATCAGCTCAAATTAACTTTGACTTGTACAGGAGATTTCTTTCTTCAAACTTTGAAGTGGGAGTCAACCAAAGGCGCCGCTCTTGGGTTGGGTTGTTGGAATTCTGGTCGCGCTCCTGGAAGCTTTACGCGTTGAGAGAGAAATGGCTGTTAGCGTAAGTGACCAAGACGCGAATTCCCGTGAGGAGAAGGCGGGCATGGAGGGAGGCGCTGAGCATTAGGTTGCCCTGTTGCGGGGAGTGCGGGGAGTGGCTGCACAGGTAGTCGGGTGGCTACAGTGGCTCGCTCAGTGGCAGATGCCGCTGTGGATTTGGGGCGCAAACCCCCCTCCCCCCCCTAAACTCCGCCTGCAAGGAAACCGTCACAGCAGTCAAAAAGAGGAAGTCGGGTGTCAACAAAATGGAATCAAGCTTCCTTCACTTCCACCTTTCAACACCAAAATTGGCAAAAACATTATTTAACGTTGCTCTGACCGGATCGTACCCGGCTGAGAAGGGTGAACATGAACAACTTGTGACCATCGATATTAGGATACGAAGATGAAGGATTGGCCTTACAGAGCACAGGAGAAAAATCGAGACGGGACTGAAGACGGCAAGGCTGATGACGACGACCGGCTTTGATAGTCACAAAACGGGCAGTTGGAGCAACACGTTTCGACTTTACTACGATAACTGGGTACAACCGACAAACAAACTCTCTACATACCTCAAATGCTTGTCGAGTTCCACACCTTCACAACAGCCCCCGCCGCAACTCCATCTGGGCTCGACTGCAGCGCAACCCGGACGACATTCAACGCCTGGCTGCCCAAGAAAACGGGCGCCTTGAGTCTTTGAGCCTCCTCAACAGCCGCAGAAAGACCATCGGCAATCTCCTTGAGACTTGTCTCGCTTTCGGCAGCAGCCCATCCCTGCCTCGCCGTGCCCTCCCGGAAAGCCTTGATGATACTGGGCCCATGCTTCTTCAGCATCTGACTTCCTCCGGCCGCGTTGATACACAGATCAAACACCTGATCGAGGTCCAGCCCAACCTTATCAGCGAAAGCCAGGGCCTCCGCCGCCGAGCAGAGCAATATCCCCTTCAAGAGTCCGATCACCAGTGCTAGCTTCTCCTCGCCACTCGCAGCAGTTCCTTGAACCGGTCCAACCTTGCCCTTGCCTTCTGCATACAGCCTTACCAGCCCACTGTCGTCGTCCGCTCCGTACCCCCTTCCTACGGCAGTAAAATACACCTGCTCGGCCACGCTCGTCATCAGCGTGGGGAATCCGCTCCTCCTGGCCTCGGCAGTGATGATGCTTGTGTCCTTGACGATAATCACCGTCGCACTCGCAATGGGCTGATAGCCCGTCAACATCCTCGGCGTCCGGTGTTCAAACATCCAGTTCCACGCGTCCGATTCGAGCACGGCCTCGTTCGTTCTTGCCAAGTCCAGTCCCAAATGAGTGGCCAACCCCATGGCCTCGCTCGCTGCGAGGATTTGCACAGCCGCAAGCACCTGGTGCACCATTTTCATGTTGCTGCCGGCGCCGATGCCGCCTTGGACAATGTACAACTTGGCTGGATCGGCAAGCTCTTCCAGCAGCGGCTTGGATTTGCCCAGGGCCTTCTCAGACGGCACGCCCGCCATGATGGAAAGGGTACCGTCGGCGGCGCGGGCGGCACCGCCAGAGACAGGGCAGTCGATCAGATGGATGTCCGGACGGCCAATGGCGGAGAGCTGCTTCGCAAGAGATTGAACATAGTCACAGGGGACGGTGGAGCAGAGGAGGAGGACCGCCCCTTGGGGCAGAGCTGGAGCGGCGGCGTCCGGCCCGTCGATGAGCACAGATTGGGCTTGTTGCGCAGTGGCTACCATGCAGACACAGAGTGGCTTGTCGGCCACGGCGGATGCTGGTGTGGACGCTGTGAGACCGCCGGCGGAGGTGAACTTCTCTAGGGTTGGGGGCCAGACGTCAAAGCCGGTTACAGGGTAGCCTTGCTTGATGAGGTGAGTGGCCATGCCGAAGCCCATGGCCCCGAGGCCGATGAAGGCCACAGGTTGCTTGGTGTCTGACATGATGTTGTGGGTTCGACTCGGTGAATGGACAAAGTCCCAGTAAGTGAACAGTGATGAGTGAGCGTTGAGTCGTCGTTAGGTAGGGGAGTCACTGTGCAAGTGTAAGACCCAGTCAGATTCGATGTATCCCGTGAAGCTGAGTATGGCGAGTTTGTCGTCTAAGCAACGGTCCCTCTTTTGCGGAAATTCGATTCCCCATACTTGAGGGAAAGCCAACCTTTCCCCACGGCGAGAACGTCATTTTCGTTTTCCTGTAAGCCGAACAGAACGTTTTGAACATCAACATGGCGTGATCCACCGGTCTTACACCGAAACCTGGCTATAAGCCGCTCCTCCGCCTCCACCACCTCCTCCTCGGCACCCCCACCCCCGCCTAAATATTCAAAAGGCTTGAGCCACGAAGTGATGTTTAACCAGATGACTTCCCCTTTCTCCATGGTCTTGGACGGGAAACTAATTAGCAGCTGGGGTAGTTCCTCTTCAAGGAAAGTATCCCGCTAGGTACGTACTGGGTCAGCATTAGGCTAAAAGAGATGCATAACATCCAAACTGGTTGAGTCGGGATTTCGGCTTGGAAGTTTGGGGTAAAGTTGGGGGTGAATTTGGGGGTCATGGCCTTTATAGTGGTTACCCCGGTTTGCCCAATCCGGAAACTTGCTGATGACATCCTCCAACTCGGCAACACGTTGAAGGATAAACTGTTCCCGATACTCGGCTGCTGGATAATCACGGCTCTTTGTAAGTACTGCCTATTTTTGCAGTTGACCCTTTCTGTTAGTACAGGAGAGGCAACCTCTATCAGTGGCAGAAGCACATCCCATCCGTCTCAGCATAACCAGGCAAACCACAACTTTCCAACCCTACCTGCCAGCCGGATTCTGTTTCTTTTCGGTTGCTCCCTTCCTCTTTTCCCTCCTAGATCACCATACCAAAGTCAACACCAACAAACAACAGCTACAATGGGCCGCCCACCCCTCTCCGAGAACCGGACCATGTCCATCCTCAACAAGGCCAAAGCCGGCGGCTACGCCATTCCGGGAATGTGCTGCTACAACATCGAGTCCATCATCGCCACCGTCAAGGCCGCCGAGGCCGCCCGCTCGCCAGCCATGGTCCTCCTCTTCCCCTGGGCCATCCAGTACGCGGGTGACTCACTCGTGAAAGCCGCCGCCGACGCCGCCCACAGCGCCAGCGTGCCTGTGTCGCTGCACCTGGACCACGCGCAAACACCCGAGCTGGTGCGCCGCGCCGCCGATATTCCCGACGGCTTCGACAGCATCATGTGCGACATGAGCCACTACGAAAAGGAAGAGAACCTGAAGCTCACGGCCGAGTTGGTGCAGTACTGCCACGAGCGCGGGATTGCTGCCGAAGCGGAGCCTGGACGTATCGAGGGCGGAGAGGATGGCGTGGCGGAGACGGCGGACTTGGAAGGACTGCTGACTACGCCCGAGGAGGCTGAGGAGTTTGTCAATACCGGGATTGACATGTTGGCCCCCGCGTTTGGAAACGTGCATGGAGAGTATGGTCCTAGGGGAATCCAGCTGGAGTATGATCGTCTGCAAGCCATCAATGAGCGGGTGGGTGAGAGGGTCAGGCTGGTGTTGCATGGTGCGGACCCATTCGACGAGGAGATCTTTAGGAAGTGCATGGCTGGTGGTGTGACCAAGGTCAACATCAACAAAGGGATGAACAATCGCTATGCGAGGGTGCAGGATGAGATGAAGGGGAAGCCGTTGACGAGCGTGATTGAGGCCGGGACGAAGGCGATGCAGGAAGCTATTGAGCAGTATATGCACTGGCTGGGAAGTGCCGGGAAGGCTTGATAGTGCCTGTAGACAATTTACATGCTAGATGAGCCGAAGCCACGATGTTTAAGCTTTTTGTCTATCTTGCACGCTTCATTGAAGACCAGTGTCATCCCATCATCCCCAAAACATCTCCTCAACAACGAAGGGTTAGGGTCATGCCTGCGCTCTAAATCCCTGAATGGCCTCAACCTTTATGATTCTTCAACCCGTAGCCTCAAGTACATGTATCACTTATTCCAAGCCTCAGTTCGACAAGTCAGCCGATTCGGGGCGTTGGCCAAATGACGCAGCGGTTAACTGTCCACCACTCCTAATTCGAATGTGTCATAATCATAACAAAGAAGCCGCGCGGTCAATCGAACATCCACACATAACAACTGTTCCAAAGTATAAAAAGGGCGTCCCATACCTAAGAAAGAAATTAACAATAGAGGGTAGTACACCATTGGTCACGATAAAACAAGAAAGGGCATCTAGGCGGTAAACGCTGTACCGCACCGGGGAGGTTTTTTTTTCCTTGCTTATCGTCACTTTCCATTCTATCAGTTGAGGAGGGCATGATCGAAATTGTTCTCACATTTTAGTGAAAAATTAACGTAAATCGAGGTTGGTGGTGGTTGGGCTGCCACTCTTCAAACTTCGCAGGAAATAATGTGCAGAAATGGAAAAGTGGCAGCGATAAACGAAACTGCTCTTTCTCAAACAACAAAAACTCAAAGATTTGATACCCCACCCTCTTATTCCACCCCCCTTCCATCCCATTTATGATGAACGCACTTCAATCCAGTATCACCACGAAATTAGAGAGCCGACAAGAGGCCCTGGAGTCCGACCATGGCTCCCCACGCACCTGGATCGGGCGGCAGCACCTTGTTGTTATCCGCACCAACACCAACGTAAGTAGCCCTGCCCAGTTTTGGTTTCAACTTCTTGGTCCCTTCGGATCCCTTAACAGCCGCAGCGACGCTCTGTTCAAAGCCTTTCCCTTCTTCCATAGCCATGGCGAAGGGAATCAGCGTGTCCATTACTGTACGATCACCAACTTTGGCCGAGGTGTACTGACGCAAATGACTGATGGCTGTTGACAAAGCTTTTCCCCATAGAGCGGGAACTCCCACTTCCTTTGCGAGTCCGATGTTCTCCTGAAGTGCCGTCCGCAACGCCACGAAGAAAATACCCAGAATGCCACCCAATGTTCCGCCCATCTTACCCTCGACAATATCTTCCAGCTCGTTCAGGACCTCGACCACCGAGCCGTTGGCGGCAACCTGTTTGGTCGTCAGAGCATCTAACAGCGCGTTGGCTCCGGTCTGCAGAGTCAGGCCGCAATCGCCGTCGCCCATGACGGTGTCCCACTTTGTGAGATCCGGCTCTGCGGCTGACACTGCGTTGCAGGCGCTCTTGATCATGCTCTCGAGCAGCGCTGGGTCAATCTTCAGGTCAGAGGAGTCATCGACTGTTCTCCTGATTTCTTTCGGGGGTGGAACGACCTGCTCAGACCGCTTACGTCGTCGCGGATAACTCTGGTATCCAGCAACGGCTTCCCAGGCGGTGTCCGTTCGAGTGTCAAAGAAGCCCTTGATTTGGTCGACGGTGTAGGTGCTGTTGGCTGCAGCAGCGGTGATGTTGATAATGGATACCGAGAATGCTGGAGCATTGAGTGATGTCTCCAGGCATCCCGAGTACACTCGAACCGGCTCCATATTCCAGTCCTTGAGCAGTTGTTGCAGGATCTCGTCTACGAGCCCGCCTAGCTCAAGATTCGAGATGCCGCCAAAGTTGCTGACCAAAAGAACCGTCTCATCACCGGGGTTGAACTTGACGTAGCTTCTTTCGGGGTCAGTCTCGTCCAGGCAGTACTTGAGAATCTGCTGGACGAGTCCCTCGGCTGAAGGTGCTGGCGATAGCTTCCAGTAACCTGGCTCGTTGTGTGGTCCAGTTCCCAGTTCCAGCTCGTCCTCGGCTAGGGCTCCGTGCTCAGTCCTCCCCGGGACGTGGCAATGGTCGAGAGTAGCAGAAATGCTGACAATCGAGTTGGCAAATGCAGAACCGAAATCGTAAAGCTCATCGAGAGTCGCCCCCTGAGCAGCTGCCGCACCAAGAACCTTGAGCACTCCAATTTGCCCGGCCAACCCACGTCTTCCGACTAGGGAGCCGCCCTTCTTCCCGATGGAGACATCGTCGCCGCAGATGAGCATCTTACACGGATTGCCCTTTGCCTTCGTCTTCTCGGCCGCGAGTCCAAAATGAAGGCAGTCGCCCGTGTAGTTCGTAATTACCAGGAGAGTGCCCTTGTCGGAAGGTACTGATTCGACCGCGGCTAGAATTTGCTTGGTGCTTGGTGAGGCAAAGACGTCACCCATTACGGCTGCCGCAAGTAAGTTGGTTCCAACATAGCCGGCCCAGGCAGGTTCATGTCCAGATCCTCCGCCGCTAACAATGCTGACATTGGACCGAGGTGCTTCGGAGTCGTATACGACTTTGTTGGCTTCGTCCAGGTTGAGTCGGGGGTTCGAAGCAACGATGCCGCGAAGAGCCTTGGGGACGAGCCCGTCCAGGGATGGGAAAAGATGACGCTTCGACATGGTGTAGAGATGATGATGAGGCGTAAGAGAAGACACAAAGAAGATACAAGAAAAATGTGTGCTTATGAGGATGTATCAGGTTTTGTGATATCGGAAAGTCCTCAGAGATATTGACCATGTAGAAGTCCTCCAATCCAGCATGGGTCATATCGTCCGGTATGAGCCTGGGACACTCGTGTGTTACTCGCTTCCCCCTCCTCAACCCACCGTGTCGTTTGTATGATTCCCGTCCCAGACCATTCAATTGCCGTAGCGTAAGCGGCTTCCTCAATATTCAGACGTGTGTCAGAGAGGGGCAATCACATCGGGCACCGGGGAGTGGTGGCGTCAATATTGGGGCGGGAGTGACCCCCAATTCTTCCGGTTTACCCAGAAGGGCATCACGTCCTGGCTAAATCCGAGTCCCCTCGCCTGATAGCTTGGCTTCACTCGACGAGCTGTTGCCGGTCATTAGTCATGACATACCAACCTTGTGATCTCGGCGTTATGGGTGCTTGTAAGGTTATTAAGAACAAAGAAGGCGGTCTTCGGTTGTTCTTCCGGACAAGTTTTTACGTTTAGACTAATATCACCAGCAAAAATGTCTACAACAACACCACAACCACGATGGCGCATCGCCGTCGGCTGCGATGTCAGTACAGTAGTCTTCCCTCTTCGAACCCCCTTCTCTCTATCAAAGTTGTATAGTAGGCCTCAACAGGATCTATTACTAACCAACCCCTTCCTGTCTAATCAACAGGACGCCGGCATCAACTACAAGAACAAAATCAAATCCGACCTCTCCTCTGACCCTCGCGTAATTTCCGTCATCGACGTCGGCGTTGCCCACGAGTCTCAAGACAAGTCCACCGCCTACCCACACATCGCCGCCGCAGCCGCCAAGCTGGTCGCGTCGGGCGAATGCGACCGCGCCCTACTCATCTGCGGCACCGGACTAGGGGTGGCCATCGCGGCCAACAAAATCAAGGGTATCCGGGCGGTTACGGCCCACGACAGCTTTTCCGTGGAAAGAGCCGTGTTGAGCAATAATGCCCAGGTACTGTGTATGGGTGAACGGGTGGTCGGGCTGGAACTTGCGCGGAGACTGGCGAAGGAGTGGTTGGGGTATGTGTTTGATGAGAGTAGTGCTAGTGCGGAGAAGGTGAGGGCTATTCATGAGTATGAGGGGAGAGAAGGGGGTAGGGAGACGGAGTGGGTGAAGGGGTGTTAGTTAGACCGGACTTTTTTTTTTTTTTTTTTTTTTTTTTTTTTTCTCTTGTTGTGTTTGCAATGCCTTCTTTTTCTTTCACTCGTCATGAATTTGGGTAGGTGTGGGCATTTTGATTTCGGGCAGCTTGCAGTTTGTTTCGATCACAAGTTCAGCTAATTGATCACGACTTACAACAAAGAGGAGGAAAGTCAAGTTGGTTGTTGTTGTTGCTTCGAGTGTCCATTCTTTCCCCAGTTTCTGTTTGAATGCAATGTCAATCCATTCTCCATCTCCCCACGAGTCCAGACTCCAGAGCCCGGATCCGCCATGTTAATCGTGGGGAAAACCTGGGGAAAACCCTTGACCCTGAAAGCCTTGCAAGTCCTGTCCTGTCCTGTTCTTGTGATTCTTTTTTCGGATATCGTAATCCGACCCCCCAACGGCGAAGATGCCCTGACTGGTGCAGTGTAAGTGGGCTCGGGTAGCATTCCCCCGAGCTTGGGACGGAAATAACGTTAGCACAAACGCGCCGAGCGTCACATATCCAACGCGACCACGAGCTTCACACATGATAGAGTGGCAATTTGTTTGTCGCAATAGATCGTGGGGGGTTTGTGGGTTTGTGGGTTTGTTGTAGATCCCCCGGATTTCTGTAAAATCAGACTTAACCGAGAAGGGGCATCCGCGCGGTTTGGGACAATACAAACGACTTTGGGAGAAAATTGGCGGACGAGGGGGGGGGGGGAGGGGGGGGAGGTGATGTTGCAATTTACCCGGGCCCGAGAAAAGAGATAGCTTAGATACGGGTATAGGATGCGCTTATCCGCGGGGTACGCAACGATTCTGGTTAGCTTCCAAACAATCTTTCCTCGGATTGTCATCAACCTATGCCAAGAAAACAGATGGTGTTTCTTCGTTGTAAGTCATTGTTGGTATTGAGATCAGATTGAGATTGAGGTAATAGCAAATAGTGGTACGGGTGATGATTCTTTGCACGGAAAGAATCACAGACAAACTGAATTCTAACTGAACGCTCTCCATCAGCTTAGGAACTATAATCCTCTCTAACCATACCTAGACTAAGTACCACCACCAAACCACGTCAACAACCATCGCAGACTTCAACAAAACACCCTTGAAGCTGAAGCCAAGCAAGAATCTACAACGATGTCCACCTCATCACCTTCCCGTGAGCGCCGGCGTCTTGTAGGCGTTTCAACAAAAATGTACTTCTCCCACGCCCGCACCACCAACTTCATCACCTCCTTCCTCGACCTCATGCAGCACCACACCTCCACCAAAACCGAGCAGTCCACCAACAGAAACAATCTGGCTGCCGCCCTCGCCTCCAAGATCGACATATTCATCATCCCCGACCACCTCTCTTTGCAGTCTGCCATCAACCGCACCGCGAACCACACAAGTCAATCTGACCCAACAGATCCCAAAATCCTCTTCGGCGCGCAAAACTGCCACTGGGAAGATTCCGGCCCATTTACAGGCGAGATATCCCCCGCCGTCCTGGCCGAGATAGGGTGCAGAATAGTCGAACTCAACCATGCCGAACGGCGCCGCCACTTTGCCGAAACAGATGCCACCACCTGCCTCAAAGCTCAAGCAGTCATAAGAAACGGAATGATCCCCCTCATCTGCGTTGGTGAAGGTTCCCCTGGTCAAACACCTGCCTCGAGCGAGGTAGCGATCAGAAAAGCGGCGGAGGAGGTGGTGAACCAAGTAGAACTTTGCCTAGAGGGTGTTGACCCCACTAAAGAAGTTTGGCTAGCTTACGAACCTGTTTGGGCTATTGGTGCGAAGGAGCCTGCGGGGGTGGAACATGTGAGGGGTGTGGTGAGGACTATACGAAAAAGTGAGGTGGTGAGGGGGAGGGAGGAAAGGGGCGGGGTGACGAGGATTTTGTATGGAGGGAGCGCGGGGCCGGGTTTGTTTGAACAACTGAAAGAGGAAGATGGAGTGGATGGGTTGTTTTTGGGCAGGTTTGCGCATGAGGAGGGGCAGTTTTGGAAGACGATTTGTGAGGTTGCTGAGGTTGGGTGGGAAGGGAGGTGAGGTCTTAATTGTTTTTGGACGTACGGAGGAATTTAACTTGCGATGAGTGTATTGGAACAGCTCAGCCATCGTGGATTGCAAATGCGTATGAACTGCTTGTGCTTGAAGAATAAGGACGAGTGATGAGCAGTGAAGTAATTTAAGGTCGCCAATCAAAGTCTACGGGCAGCCCTCTTGGCCAGAGTTTCGAGTGTCTATAGTCTATGACCGTGGAGTCTATGTTGAACCGATGCCGCCCTTCGAACCTTCGTAATACAGAGTGAGGAAGAGGGTAGCAAGACAAGAATGAAAAGAACATATACAATCCAGTCCTGGTTTGTGTGTTAGTCCAGTACAAAACAGCCAAAGTTTACGAGTTATAGATTTTGTCTTTCTATTTAGTGTTTTACCTAGTCTTGAAGGCTTTCTTCTAGTCTCAAGGACCTCTAAGGCGATAGAGAGAGGTATTAGGGGATACCTCTCAAAGGTTTCTATGGCGTCACAAATCCTTGCCATTATCCTATATCGCTTCATTGGAAGACAGTTTCTCCTCAACAATGACACAAAGGCCGTGATCCTTCATCATAGCTGCGGCAATGTGTTGCTGAATGCAAACTTCTTCTCTTGTACTTAGGAATTGAGACACTGGTTTGTGGTGATGGCACGTCGTTGTTTGCATTGAACCCAATCCGGCGACAAGAACGGACCCTTTTCAGCAAGGCCGGGGTTCCCCTCTATTGCGGCAAACAGCGACAACGATGACGATACTAGTTTTGAAAAATCGGCCAAAATAATGACAGTGACAGGTGGTCCAGGAGCAGAATCTCCGGGGTAACGGGAACCTTCATGGCCCCTCAGGCGCGCTCCTTCTTAGCCGTGACGTCAACTGCATCATTCTCCATAGCCAGATTGGATTGAATCTGAAAGCAAACGCGCAGCAACAGAACGCGCAGCTGGGCTGTGCTTGTGCTGGATGGAAGATAATGCCGTTGACTGACATCTGACAGACAGATAATCACAAGATGTGCGCCCATCGCAAGTTTACTTCCCCGTTTTTACTCCAGCCGCGGTCGCCTCCTCTCAAGACTTGAACTCACCACTACAAGCCCAAGAAATCACATCGAGATACCAGATCAACCCACACATTACAATCCTCCACCATGACTCGCAACATCTGCATCACCGCCAGCGAAGGCCAGACCGGCTTCCTCATTGCCGAGCTACTCCTCAAGGAGAGCAAGTTCGCCAAGCGAATTGATAGCATCACCGGCCTGGTTCTCGACCCTACCAACCCAAAGTGTACGGAGCTCGAGTCCCTCGGAGCCAAGATCGTCCCGCACCACCCTGGCCGCGAGCGCCAGATGGTTAAGACTCTTAAGGAGGTTGGCTGCGACACCATCTGCGTGATCCCTCCCGCCCACAAGGACAAGGTCGACATCACCATCGAGCTGTGCGAGGCCGCCAAGAAGGCCGGCGTCCAGAACGTGCTGCTCATCTCTGCTGCCGGCTGCGACTATGCCGAGAGACGCAAGCAGCCCCGTTTGCGCGAGTTCATCGACATTGAGAACATTGTCTTGAGCTCCAAGGGCGACCCGAGCGTCGAGCTGGGCCACTCGCCCTGTGTCATCCGCGCTGGTTTCTACGCCGAGAACTTGTTGTTGTACTCTCAGCAAGCACAGTTGAACGGTACCCTCCCTCTGCCCATCGGCGAGAACCACAAGTTTGCTCCCGTTGCTCTGGGTGATATTGCGTACGTCGCTGCTTGTGTCCTCGCTGGTAAGGGCAAGCATGGCTTCGATGATCGCCACCGCGGCCAGATGATGATTGTCACTGGTCCCATGCTTTGCGCTGGAAAGGAGCTGGCTGAGGCTGCTAGCCAGGCTGTCGGTCAGAAGATGGAGTTTGAGAACATCTCCGAGTACGTTTTTTTTTTCTATTCTCTATCCTTTATCACCATTAAACTCACGCTACATTCCCCAACGATTGCTAACAACAACGCCTAAAACACAGACGCGAGGCCAAGAGAATCCTCAAGGCCCAAGCCGACATCGACGACTCCGAGAAGGAGTATCTCCTCGAGTACTACAGCTTGGTCCGCGAGGGCAAGACCAACTACGTTGTCACCACGGCCTTCCACGATGTCACTGGGGAGCAGCCTACCCAGCCTTCCGAATTCTTCCGCATGTATAGCCATGAGCTGCGTCCCAAGAAGAAGGCCAAGACTGATAACTCCACTTAAACCGGTTTTCTTTCTCATTGTCTTTGGCACCCATTTGAATTTCGGTTGTGTAATCGTTGGAGCATGGAGTTTTGGGCGTCAGGCTTGAAGGGATACAAAGGGGTTCTGAGTCGGGAGGTAGGTAGGAACAATCGATTAGAAGGCGTACTTCTTCCATTCATAGGCTACCAAAAAGAGACAGAAGACTCTCAGGTTGCTCGTGTACGATCCTCCAAACAACGGCAAGGCTGTTCATTGTAAATATTAGCCAGTCTGTCGAATTGTTACCGCATCCATTCTGCCGCCATCAGGTTCACAAGAGCGTAAAGTTTAAACACAACACTCGTTATTCAGGCCTGCTGCAAAACTATCGCGCGGTCTGCGATGATAAGAAAAAGAGGCGATGAAGCTAAAGAGCGGGATTCGGAGCTGGAACAGCGAGTCAAGTCCACCGGTCAAGGTCGTCATGGTCCATTCCCAAGCCCGTATTGCCTAAACTGAAGACCCAAAGAACCACACTCTCCAAGACAACATGTCATTGATGGTCGTGGAATATGCGGTCCAATACTGGTCTGTTTGTCAGCTCGAGACCTTGGGTCAAGTTTCCTAAGCGTTTTATCGTAAAATACACTTGGTCGAATCTTTTTAGTACTTTCCATTCAATCCCTAAAAGATTTGGGACCATTCGGCAGCGATCACATCCATCGTACTAGGAGGAGGTATCAAGCTGACAAACAAATCAGCACAAGATTGCATGCGTCATGTGTGGTTATCATAGCTCTAAGAACTGGCACATTTGTCCTCTAATTCTCTAATTCTTGAGCTTTACTATCCGTTCTTTCCATGATGAACCCGACTTTCTTCGGAAAGTCTTATCTAGCTACCTACTAGAGATCGAAAACTCGTACAAGGTGGAATTGCTTCGTTCCTTCCTCCAGTCACTCCTCGCTTCGGTATTTAGGTAATGCTAAACATCCCTCTGAATACCTCCAAGGAGCAGGTTGCAGTCTGCACGAATCTTGGATTGTTTTCTTCCAGTCTTTTTTCACTTTTTTTTTTTTTTTTCAAAAAAAAATTCTTTTTGGACACAATTAACTAGCAAGGCGACTCGGAGAAAGCAAGGCATTTGCGCAAATAATGAATACGTATTATCTAGTGGCCGGTGAGCAGGAATGGCGTCAGATGTGTTCTGTTCTGTGCGAAGCCTGACCTAGACTGATTCCATTTGCAGGTCTCCTTCGTGGTCAACCTCCGGAGCCGGCGGTAGATTGGCAAAGTCGGCACCTCCGTCAAGATCCATGGCCTCCGAGCTTCCTCCAGCATTCTCTGTATGAGGAGAGACTATTTCCGCACTGACAACCTCCCCCTTCATGGTCAATGGAGATGTTTCAGGCGAGTTGGGCTTCGACTCTGCGGCATCACACGCGCCACCTTCCTGCTCTTCAAGCTCAGCTTTGGCGGAAGTATGTGCGGCCACGATGACGGTAGACTCCTCTGTCTCCTCTTTGTTCACATGCTCTGCATTTTGAGCCAATGGAATATCCGTGCACGGTGAATCGGATCCCTCAGAATCATTCGCATTTTCCGGAGCCGTGTGCACTGGAGCGTCTGAATCCCCTTCGTTGTTTTCGGTGTTCTGGGATGTAACTGTCGCGTGACCTGGCGTGGCAGACTGGTCACCATCGTCAAGCTGCTTGTCGTCTTCCTTATCATCGACATCATTGAAGAAGGCATCTAGGTCGCAAATAACTCGCATTTTGGCCAATATTTTCGTGGATTCGTAGTTTGTGCCATCAGCATTGCCGCGCTTCATCAAGCCTGGTGATACCGCCATGTCAACGATGGGAGGGCTTGTTTGGTCCAGTTGATCGCTGCTCAGCCCAAGGGAAATTTTACCCATGCTTCCTGCATTAAAAGAAAACCCAAATAACCGAGATTGATTCGATCGTACGGCACCAGAGAAAATGAGACGGAAGGAAGCTTTTGACTTTCTGAGCTGAATGTCGATGTCAACAGCTTTTCTGATGATCTCAGCAGCGTCTACCAAAGTTTCATTGGAAAACCGAAGCCTCGATGGCTTTGGTGAGATGAACTGCCGTAACTCTTCCATCATTTCCCTGGCAGTTGAATGATCTCTCGACTTCCTGTCCAAACCCAAGTCGACAAGGAAGCTCGCAGATCGTGATCTCCATTCATGGAAAGCTGTGTTGAATTTTGTCTTCTCGTTGACGGGGAATTTTTTGACGCATCCTGATAAATCTTTGTTAGTATTTTGACCGAAGCTGAACGGCAGGTGATACATTTCGGGCGGATCCGCTTACCTTTGACTTGTCCGCAGATATCATCGAATGTCTCTCCAATTTCTCCTGCCCACTGCTTCGACATAGGGTCAAAAACTTCTTTCTTTACAAAACGCCACACCATGCTCTCCACAAGGTATGGGTATAAGTATCCGCTTTGGAGGACTGATCCTGCCTTTGCACATACTTTACTAATGTGCGAGTACTGCTCGACGGTGACAGCTCCCTGAATGTCCTCCAACAAATTCATAGTGGGAAAGTGATTGCTAACAAACTGTTGAATCAAGAAATCCAAATGTTCCCAGTCTTTTCCAATCTCTGAATCGGCGTCCTTGGTTGGGCTAACGTAGTTCTTCGATCGCAGCTCGGAAAGTTCCTCAAGAAGCTCCGTCCGTGTCTTATCTAGCTCTCTCTCAAGTTTGTTTATCTCTAATTTGAGACGGTTGTTCTCGGCTTCCAGGCTTCGGATGCGAGCTGCATCCGCAGTCTCTTGTGTGTTGAAGTACGTCTTCTTTGGCCCTTCTTCCCTTTCTTGCATTACGATTCCCGGTGAGAGTCGGACAATGGACACTGGCAAGCTTCGAGCAATGGATTCTCTCTGCTCTTCCGTGTCATCTCTCTTGCGTTTGATCGTCTTAGATCTGGTGGCATGCTCTTTGCTGTAACGCTCTCCATCGCCATTACCGTGAAAGTATTTCAGGATTCCATTATAATTCTCTTCGGACTCCTGAGAGTGCTTCATGGGATCCGAGATGAATTGACCATGGCCTTCTCGCTTGATCTTCATCTGTTGACGCAGTGTCTGATGTTCGATGTTGGAGATGGCGGGCTCGGTTTCAACTGGCCCGGAATTTCCCTTGTCAATGTTTTGGGCGACACGGCTAGCTTGTTCTCCGGTTGACCGATGCAGTCTTGCATGATGAGAAGCTGCATTCATGTTAATTTTCTGGTCGTCGGTTCTTTCACCAGCTGAGTTGCCGGGGTTTTGTGCGGGCGATAGACCGTGGTTGAGATGCATGGTTGATATGTGTTCCGTAGGTGACGAGTGCTTGTGTAGGCTTGGTGGGTTGAGAGCACGAGAAATGCTCGCTGGGCCACAGCGCGTGATGAAGGGTGCGTGCTGTGATATGGGCTTTCATAACGTTGTGAGATTTCTCGTGATTACTTGGATGCGCAGTGGCGGAACAGTGGGATAGAGCTCACCGATTGCTGATGCCTTAGTGATGTCCTTCGAAAGCCCCAGCCGAAGCAACTTCTCCTCGGTGGAAGAGCGCGTTTGTCCAGCAGCGCTTATGATGACAAGGGAAGAACTCGTCGAGAACAAAGTTCTGGATCGATTGTAGAAAGTGCGTAACTAGCACAATAGTAAGTAAATGTTGATACTCTTCAAGCACAAGGTGCAAAAGCAGTATGGTGAGGCGAGGAGAGAAATGTGTTCCAAACCAAACTCAATCAGTATCGTGTATGAGTGAGTATTGACGGAGCAAACTTACCCAGATACGGCGACGTATCGCAGACTAGGCTGATAAGTAAGTGAACCCCTCGCGAGACAGCCGGGTACCTCTATTGATCTAAAATTGTCGAAGGAGGACCAAAGGCCAGCCGTTAGGATATCATATTTATTGACAGATTTCAAAAGCAGTAGAACTAAGATCAGAAGTACCAGCCTCCCCCATCCAATCGCAGAAGTTGATATTTGACTGATTGCGGTCTGATCTTCTCATCTTTTGACTCGGAGTATTCCCTTCTTCAAAGAGGTCCCTCGACACATAGGTACCTATAGGTACGTACCTACCTTACTTACCCAGATCTCGTATGGGATTTGTATACTTCTGCAAGCACTCGTTCGGAGTACTGCCCATAAGTACCTCTCGCTGGCAGGAATAGAAAACCGAGTACATCCAGAAGTACCTGGTGGTCACAGGCACGGTAAAGTTACCTCCACCTCGGAGAGACAGCCTTGGTACATGCTTGATTACAAGGACGTTATTTCGTCTCTTCTTCCTTATCAAACGGGCAGCGAATAACTTTTTGGACGTAAACAGAAATCTGAAAGCCCAAGTCAATCTGAAACAGCTATATCTCTCGTCATCCCACCTTTCTCGGCGAATAGAGGGGACCACTACCTCCATCTTACTTCTGTTTGTTTTTCCTGAGGCCTTCCTCCCAAACCATGAATTCGTGGAATACCCCACACGCACTCCCTCTCCGATGACAATACTAGACTGAAAGTCTCCATCAGTTTCTCCCCGATAACACATCCCTCCCAAACGGCACATCTAACTTCCGTCAGACTATCACGGCTTCTTCTGACACCATACATCTCACGAATCGTTGTCTCTCACCATACATCTCCCTGCAAGTAGCAAAGGCTGATAACACTCTGCTGGTCTTCCCTAACTTTGTCACGAAGCTGCCATCTTTTCTCGCAGATCACCGGGTAAGCTGCTGGACTGTTGAAGCTGTTATAATCCTCCATAACTTTGTTATCACCCCGCCCTCACCTTCTCATTTCTACATCACAGGTCCGCTACCATCTGGCACCCCAACTCATGAGTGTTTCTTGGTCCAGTCATCATGTCCAAACACAAATCTTGAGCAATTACCATAAAAATAACAAACGCATAACATCACTAATAATCACCTCTGGTTATTCCAGGTACAAGATTATCACGGTTCGACAGATTCTACACAGATTCCATACAGAGTCACTAGCTTCAAGCTCGTTGCGATCAAGATGCCTTCAACCACACGGAGATCTCCCCGCAAACCGGCCAGTTCTCAAGGAACTGTCATCATTGGGATTGATTTCGGAACAACTTTCTCCGGTGTCGCTTTCACCTGGTCCAACCAAGTCGACAAAATCGAGATCATAACCGGCTGGGACGATGCCTTGAGTGACAACACTGATGAGTGCAAGGCACCCACCGCTATTTCCTACGGTACTGGGAATAAGGTGACCTGGGGCTATTCTATTGAGCCGGAAAAGGAACAGCTTAAATGGGTTAAGCTTCTACTCCTCAACGATGAGGATATCCCGGAAGAAGTCAGAACCTCAGACAAGATCAAGCACGCTCGTGAGTACCTTCAAAAGCACAACAAGACAGCAGAAGAAGCGGTCACGACGTTTCTGCGCCATCTTTGGGAGCACTCGATCGATTGTATCACCAAATCAATCAGCAGAGGCATGGTCAACTATGCTCAGTTTCATATTGTAATCACGCTTCCGGCCATTTGGCCGAGCTACGCACGCGAGAAAATGAGACTTGCGGCCGAGCAGGCTGGTATGCTGGACAAAAGGATGGGCGTTGAGACCCAACTCACTTTCATCTCTGAGCCTGAGGCGGCTGCCATAGCCACTCTTGCGGACATGGAAGGGCGTTTTGACGTGAAGGTAGGTCAACTTCTCTTGAGGAATGCACGTCAGCAATAATCTTCTAGGCAGCCCCCAATTAGATTTCCAGACGATATCAGAGGATGCTAATTTGATTTTTTGAGCAGGATGAAGACACATTCGTCGTGGCGGATTGCGGCGGTGGAACTGTGGATCTAATATCGTACAAACTGATTCAAGCCGAACCCATGATCGTCAAGGAGTGTGTGAAAGGAAGTGGTAAGCATCTACAGCCCTTCCATGCGTATCATACAAGCATACCCAGATACTGACACAGTGGCAGGTGGGTTGTGCGGCGCAGTTTTCCTCGATGAAGCCTTCACGAATGTCCTCAAGGGCAAGTTTGGCAAGAAATGGGAGATGATGGACGAGTCGAATCGGCGCGACATGGTTCGCACTCAATGGGAGACTGGCATCAAGCGGAACTTCAAGATGAGCTCCAACAAATCCTACAACATTCGTATCCCCATGGAATGCTTGTTGGCAAAAGAGAGACGCGTTATAGGAGCCTCCACCTCCGTTCCTACCATTACCATTTTGCCTGGAGACGTTAGAGAAGCATTTGATCCCATTGTTGACCAGATCAACAGTCTCATTGATGGCCAAATCAACGCCGTCAAAGAGAAGGAGGGGGTTAGCCCAAAGGTCAGACGAAGACAACCAGATTCTCAATATCCGCTATTGCCTTTACTGACTAGTAGGATGATACAGTATGTCATCTTGGTCGGTGGCTTTGGTCGTTGCAACTATCTATACGATAGAGTGAACGAGAGGTTCGGCGCGGAGGTTGAGGTCCTCCAGGCAAAGGGGGCTAAACCGTAAGAGCTCTTCGTTTCATTTTTACCTCTACCCTTCTATGGTACAGAGATACTGACAGAATCTTTACTCAAAGATGGACAGCCATCTGCCGCGGGGCCGTCATTCATGCCGCGACCCAATCTGGAATTGGGAAGCTCTCTGTCCAAGTTCAAACTAGAGTTGCACGCGCGAGTTATGGCATCTGTTGGAACGAGCCGTGGGACACTCGGCGTCACGATCCTGAGGACAAGTATTGGTGTGAAATCGATCAGCAATATTTCGCACGAGGCCAAATGGCATGGCTTCTTAAAGAGGTAGGTACCATCCAACAAGGAATTTACAATCACTATAGTGACAAACAGCTGACCATGGACAGGGAGATGACATTTCTGCTCAAGAACCAACAAGTCTTAGAGTCAAGCAGACCTTTGATCGCAATGGACCCCTGAAGACGCCCGAGGACGAGGAGATATTCGAAACGAACATCTTCCCCCCTCCGACCAGATGGGACCCGGATGTTATCAAACAGCTGTGCTCCATCAAATGGGAGACAGTCATCGACCCTTCCACGTTGCCGAAGTTCAAGAACAGGGTCGGAGAAGTCTACGGGGAACTGATCTACCGTTGCGAAATGACATGCTCGGGAGAGTCGATGGGCTTTGCGATCTATCGTGGTAGGAAGAAGGAAGGCTCCAAGAGCGTGAAGGTTGACTACAACACCCGTTGATGATCTCTCCGACATTATTTGCTCTACAAAATTGCTTCATGTTGCTTCAATCTTTCTGAACAAGGGGGGATGTCTCATGTCATCATCTTACCGCCCATTGCGCCCAGCTTGGTACCACAAAGAGTCTTTCTTCCAGGTTATGAGCACTTGCAGCTCATAAAGCCAAATGTATACTAGAACACTGAACCAAACTGGCATCCAAGCACACAGAAACAGAACAGAAACTTCAAATGATCAACCCCCGTGTCTTTTTTTTTCTTTTATAAAAAAAAAGTAAATTAATCCAAGTTCTCCTACCACAGATAGTACTCACACCCCTGCAGCCGGCAAAACCCAAGTCACCACCGAGTTCCTATAAACCAACCCGCTCCAAACCTCCCCACTCTTCGCCTCAACCGTCACATAAATCTCATTCCCAAACTTATTCTCGATTACAACCACCCTACTTCCATCATCCTCATTCGTGGCTGCGACACTCTCGAGCCCGCTCCCATCCCCATACGTCCAACTTCCCGTTCCACTCATGACCACGGCGCCCTTCCTCATGAACTTCGAAAACTGCGCCATCATATAATAATCCCCCCTCAAACTATATGTCCCCGCCGCCGTATCCACCGTCACCAGCCCCGTGCACTTATCACAGGCATCACTGCCCGTCAAGTGCGGCCCATCGTTGGTATCCGTCCCCAGCACCCACGCCGTCACTCCGCTTGCCCAGTTCTGCAGCGGTCCCATGGTGAAGCTTGCGGCCCAGTTCCACGGCGTCGGCTGCCTTGCTGACGTCCAGCACTCGGTCATGTACTGCTCCACGCCCGGGTGGGCATTGTGAAAGGTGGTCAAGACAGACCAGTCCAGCGAGCTGGCGTAGCAATGCCATGCCACTGCGGGAACATACCCACCCGCCTGAGAAAGGACGGTGGACGGGTAGGAGGGTTGGTCGGTGTTGTGGTCGTATGCCCAGATTTTGGTATCCAAGCCGGCGTTGCGTAGCGCTGGACCGATGTTGTTCTGGATGAGATCACCGGCCTCGTCGGCGTAGATGTACATGGTCGGCATCTGCGCGCGCGAGTTGAGCGGTTCGTTTTGGATGGTGATGGCGTCGATTTTGGCGCCCTTGGCTTGGTACGCTTGGAGGTATTTGACGAAGTACTGGGCAAACTGGGAGGCGTAGGCGTGGTCGAGGTTGTTGTTTACCGTAGTGCCTTGAATCACGCGGTTGAGCTTCATCCAACCTGGTGGACTCCAGGGAGAGCCGAGGATGGTGAGGCTGGGTTGGAGACGTCTCATCTCGGCGAGCAGCGAGGCCATGGCGTTGCCGCGGTCGCCGAGGTTGAAGTTGGAAAGGGAGAGGTCGGTTTGGCCGTTGGAGTCGTCGTACGAATAGGCTGGGTTGGCAGAGAGGTCAGATGAGGCAATGGTGTGTCGCATCATGGCAAAGTTGGCGCCGGCGGTGGTCATGAGGGTGTTGAGCAGAGCGGTGCGTTGGGCGGAGGGGAGAGCGTTGAAGACGGACACGGTGGAGTCGGTGACGGCGGCGCCGAAGCCTTTGATGGTTTGCTTCCGGCCAGAGGGAGTGTCGTCTATGGTGAGCTTCCATGTTGAGTTGGATCCCGGAGTGCCAGTGCCCCGGACCGGAGCGCTGTAGGAGGAGAGTTTGTATCTGCCATCTGCTGAGGAGGCATAGGCTTGGGGTTGGATCGCCGCAGCGACTAGTCCCGGAGTTAAGAGGAGAGTGAGGGCTGGGGGATACATCTTGGGCAATGATTGGAAGCGATGAAGGGTGCTTGTCACTCAATGCTGTCGATGGAGGCCAAGAGGACGAAAACTTGCCCCTTTTGTATGTTTACTTATTACCCCGGATTGACGTAACATCCGGACATGAGTAATGACCAACCACACCGAGTACCACCTTTAATGCATTCCTCATACTCGGATTTGTGAACTTATTATGCATCTTGTCGGAGATGTGACGGTAGCACCATATGGCACCTGCCGTGTATAAAGTAGCTTAGGGACAAATGTCGTTGCCTAAAAATTCTTCGAATGTAATTGGTCTGGGTGAGCACTCGTGCATATTCGCATTTTCAACTCTGGGACCTTCCCGCTCATCTTCTTCCAGATCTAAACTTCTTCTCCGGCATATAAAACGCTAGCGCGGGGATTTGGATAGTGGCTAATCGTTGAAGAGAAGGTGGCGGTACCGCGCTAACCATTTACACGCCGGAAGAGGTGTCCAAAACGCCCCATGTTACCATCCGCGGACATTGCGCTCATGCTGGATATCGAAAGACAATCCAGTACATGACTCAGCAACAGACATGATATCTACTCGATTTATTGATGAGGTGTTGTTATTTGTAAGAAGACGTGATGCACAGGTGTAAGACAGGAGTGTTGAGATCTTCCCAGAATCTGATGAGACACTATCGATTGCCTGGGTCAGCGAATCTCGTCGTGCCATCGTTGAGAGCCTTGCAAGACAACGAAGCATCATCCTCCTAGTCCGAGAGAAGTAGTCACTGGGTACTGAGACATTCCGCTCAGCTGATGGTGTTCCTGCCCTTGATCATTGTAGGGGTCAGGCACGAAGTGTACGAAGTGCAAGTATACACACGCCGGTAATACCCGCCACTGGCCTCATAGGTAGCTATACCGCGGTGCTTGTGCTATCATGATGCAAAGGTAAGACACCTCCTCCAAAAAGAAAACCCCCAATTGTTTGCCGGCCAGACCGCCGGTAACGAATTGCATCAAAACCGGCACTGGTCCCTTCCTGTTCATTGTTGTAGCTGTCTTGGGGTACAAGTAAACAAAGAAAAATGCCAAACAACTGCCAAACACCACTAGATGCGGTACTGGCTCAAATTGGAGATCTCCGCACTACTCTATGAGGCGATCATGGCATAGTGAGAAAAAAAGATATGCGCAAAGAAGAACGTGCAAATGTAGGAGTATACTGGCTCCGTAATTTCCCAGTTAGTCGAAAAAAAGAGAGAATGCGTCCGGAATACTTTCACCGGCGTGATGGCTCAAAGGTGACAATGAACCAGGGACACAAAGAAAGGACACCAGGAAGAAACCCAACGCCAAGGGAAAACATCCGCAAACGGCCATCAAGGGAGCCATTGTTTGTTGGGCGATGCGAACGTAGATAACCCCCATAGAAAGCGCAACACCGCGAAGTGAAATGAGTTCCAAGAGAGCTTTTCTGACTCCGTCAGTTCCAATTCTCATGCCAGAAAGACAAGAGGTTTCAGCATTATCATTTTATACTACCACTTCGGCCAGCAAGAGTATTTTGAGACTTGTGTTAGAGCCTCAAGAACCTTTAATCACATTCGCGATCCCCTGTCACAACACTTGTCTAATCCATTGAAATTCCTCACCTGAATCGACACTCGAGAAAAAAAGAAGAAGAAAAAAAGAAGGAAAAAGCACCGCCGAGATGCCTCGCGCAGCAGCAGCAGCGAGACAAAAAGCCCTCGCCGACAAAAAGGCCGCGAAAGAAGCCGAAGCGGCAGCCAAGGCCGAGGCAGAAGCGCAAAGGAAGGCAGAACAGCAGGCAAAAAAGGCAGCGAAAGAGGCTGAGAAGGATGCGGACGACGAAGAGGACGGCGGAAATGACGAGCAACCGCCTGTTAAACCCAAGGGAAAGGGAAAGAAGAAGGCTGCTGCCCCTAAAAAGGCTGCCCCCAAAAAGGCTGCTGCTGCTAAAAAGGATGCTGTTCCCAAGAAAGTAGCGCCCGTGAAGAGCGCCGGTCTGAAGCGTGCAGGGGCGGTACCCAACGCGAAAACAGCAAACAATACAGCAACAGGCAGAAAGAGAACCGCAGAGGTTATGGAAGGGAATGAAGACGAAGACAATAACAACAACGAAGAAGCCGAAAACGAGGATGAAGCCCAACCACCAGCAAAGAAAGCCAGGTCCCCCGCTGCAGCAAAGACCGCTACCAACCCCAACCACCGAAATTTTCAACTTGCTGGAAGCCTTTCTTTCGAAATTCCTCGAAAGTCAGTATCAATGGGGCCGAGAGCGCAACCAAGAACGTCATCAGAGGTGGCGCGGGCGGACGCAGCAGGGAGGCCAGGGAGAGCAGATGGAAATAGAAGTAGTCGGGAGGCAGATGACGAGGCAGGCAGATTGGCTAGAGAGGGGCTGGAGAAGCCGCAGCAGCAGAAGAAGAAGAAGTCGCCGCCTGTTAGGGTTTCGGTGAGGAATGGAATGGGGAGGGTACAGGAAAGGGAGGTGCAGTTTGATGTTGATGAGCGGCGTCCAGGTGAGGGTCAGAGTCAGGATCGGGGAGAAGATGATGAGAGGGAGAACGAGGTTGAGGCTGTAGATGAGGAGCGGGGGGAGGTAGATGAAAATCTCAACGAAGGGAACGAAGATGTAGCCGAAGCAGCAGCAGCAGCAGGCGCTGATGGCGGTGACCCCGACAAAGACCCCTCAGACTCCTCCTCGGACACCTCCTCAAACTCAATCTCAAGCGTACCCTCCGAACGCCTCTACCGCGACCTCCCCGACATCCAGAAAGACCACATCATGTCCGGCATCGAATCCCGCCTCTCCCAACTCCAGGAGGCATACAACATTAGAGTAGCCCGCACCAAGCGAAACGGCTTGAAGTACAACCAAGGCATCTTCACGCGGGCATCCGGGCCTGAGTACGGCGACCCCGTCACCGTGGAAGATCTCAAGCGGGACTTTGCCCATCTCAAGATTCTGGTTCAAAAATTGGTGAAAATGATTCCCACGGATCGAACCCTTGAAGAATGGACTAAGCGGGTACCTGATGTCTGGGAGGAGCTCAAAAAAATGACAAAGTATGCAAAGGCGTACTGGAAACCGGACGAAGGGCCGCTTCGAAAGTGGTTGCTGGAGGCGTTGATCTGGAGGAGGCTGCATAAGCTGATGTTTGATCGGCAACGGTCCGAGTATTTTGCTTTCGGACATGGGAGGGCGATGCTGCTGGAATTTTGGGTTACTTCTTGTAAGTTTTTGTCCGAGTTGCTGTTGCATAATTTGTTAGTGACTCGCAACATTTGCTGATCTGTTGTTTGTGACCATCGTTTTAGTGTCAGCAGGACTGTACTTTGGAGAAGCGGTGCCGGAGCTCTGCGAGCAAAGGGCTCGACTGGCGACTTTCTTGAAAGAAATTTACGAGAAAGAAAGTCCATCTCGTGTGGCGCGTGCTTTCGAAGAGGTCTTTTGTCATGGCATCCTCGATTTCCTAAGGGAGAAAGAACAAGAACACCCCCCGCGCACAGGCAGATATTTTCACGAAGAGAGGGCTGAGCGAGAGAGGGAAATGCAGGAGCTGGCGGTGCAAATCATCGGCCACGCCAGCGACCTCAACTCGAGAATGTTGCGGTCATCGGGGAATTGGGCGCTCATATACACAGATCCACGGACTGAGGATCAAAAGTTTGGGTATTCCTTCGTGCCCGACAAGATGCACTTGAGAGACCTTGAGGATGAGTATGTGGTGAGTAACAATTCAACAGGAGATCTGGGAGACCTTCAACGGGATGAAATGGGTAAAGAGGTTATTCTTGCCATCACCCCGGGGCTGTGGAATTATGAAGAATGGGCGAAGATGGATCCCCATTACACGATCCCGCATGTGAGGTCGGAGGTGTCGATAGTGCGCAACAAAGCGAAGCAGAAAGGGAAGGATTCAAGAGGCCGGAGGGGGGCAACGATGTCTGACGAGTCTAGACATAGCAGTTAGATGGGTTCCAACATCGGGAAACGTTACCTACCTCTACTGTTATATAGACTTGTGCGAATTTGAGGGGTTCGAACTCAGTATTCAGGACAGCCTTGCAGGAGAGTGACGAGATTATTTGAAAGACGCAGGAGCGAGGCAATGCGACGTTCATCAGCTGCCAGGAATCCGAGGTCTGAGCAGTGACCGCCATCCAAAGTGACGCACAGATGCTTGGCCGTCTAGGCGATAAAGCCCCAAGTCGTTTACAGCAAACGCGCTCTTGTTGGGGTTTTGCTCTTTCTGCGTGCCAAATCCATAAACATCAAACACCAATCCATATGAAATATTCATACTCCTTGTTCCAGTTTAAGTAATTGAGCTGGAAGTAATGTAAAAGTCAGCATGGCTCTTCTGTCAGTGGTAACTCGACCTGTTCTGTGTCGACCTTCCAACCTCCAAAAGAGTTGGAACAGCTTTCTTTCTCTTCGCGCATATGGTGTCCAGTTCTCCGGCCAGCGGCTCTCAATCGGATCTTTCCAAAAACGTGGGCGAGCAACACGCAGCAGTCCAGTGCAATGCCCCCGACATGCTACCCAGCTATTCACCTCCCAGGCCCCCGAGCGAGTCGCGCGGTCCATCACCCAATGGCACCCACCCACCGATCAAGACATGTGGGAACAACCCGTCCTGATCATGGGCGCAGGCCACATCGGCCGTCGGGTAGCGCTGGTATGGGCCTCGGCGCTCCGCCCGGTGACGGTGTACGACATCTCCAAAAACACGCTCCGCTCGTCGACCGAGTACATCACCGACAACCTAGCCAAGTACTGTCTCGAACACGGGACCCATCCCGGCCCCGTCCACTTCACCAGCGACCTCCGAGAAGCAACCACAGCTGGCAAACGCCACGGTCTGAAGTTGGACTTCAGCGCGGCGCACGACACTGAACCCAAATCGACACGCAAAAAGGGACCGTGGATGGTAATCGAATGTCTCCCCGAAAACCTCTCCCTCAAGATCGCCGCCCTCGCCGAGATCGAGCGCCTTCTCCCGGAAAATTGCATCATCGCGTCCAACAGCAGCAGCCTGATGACTTCCGAAATGGCGCCGCACCTGCAAAACCCCGGTCGTCTCATCAACACGCACTACTACATCCCGCCGCGCAACGTCATGGTGGAGGTGATGTCCTCCTCGCACACGTACGAAGGGATTTTCCCGTTCCTAACACGGGAGATGAAGAACATGGGCTTGACGCCCATGGTGGTGCCGCCCGGCGTGCAGTCGCAAGGGTTCATTTTCAACCGCATCTGGGCGGCATGCAAGCGCGAGACGCTGGCGGTGCTGCAGGAAGGGGTCGGACAACCGGCTGAGATTGACGCATTGTTTCGCGACTTTTTCCATGCCGAGAAGGGACCCTGTGAGCGCATGGATGAGGTTGGGCTGGATGTGGTGGCCAATGTTGAGGAGCATTATATCGAGCAACGGTCGGAACTTGCAAGGTCTGGCGAGAAGCCGCTGGAGTGGTTGAAGAAGACGTATGTTGGACGTGGTGATCTGGGTGAGAAGAGCGGTGACGGGCTGTATACGTGGGAGGAGCGGGAGGCACTGAAGGCGAAGCACAAGCGGGAGAAATTTCCCGAGGTGGAGGAGGCACTTGGTGCTTGATGGGAATTGGACATGACTTAATCATGTTCTTTACGTGTAACTCAGGTTGAGATAAGGTGATGGTTTATTGTCCTCAGTCATTGTGCGAAATTGAGTTGGAAGTGGAAAATGATTTGAAGAATGAGTTGGGATTAGTGGAGAGACCGCATTCCAAGCATGTCTAGCTTGCGCTAACGCCTGTACACATCAATCACACCAAATCCTGTTAGTGCTCAGTTAGCCAATCTGTGCCCCCACCTTCCCCTGAAAGGCAAACCCTTTCTCTGGTCTGCACGAGAATTGACCTATCCTTCACAGCACAGTTCCCCCAATCTTGTTCACATCAGTCGATTGGACATTATCTTTGTCATGAAAGGCCTGTAAAGATTTGATACAACAATATAGCAAGATTCAAGCCAAAACACCTCCCTCTTGGATTACCCATCTGCAGCCACATCAACGCAGACACCTTGAACAAATATCGAGGGCTACTCACACAATGTTGAATCCTCATTGGTTTCCCGAGTGTGAACTACCTTTCCCGCGGCCACTATCCACACTCTGATACGCCCCAGTATTCCTCTCATGATCATCCAAATTCAACAACTTCCCCGTATGACCAACATGTTGCACCGGCGCCGATGCACCTCCACTACCACTCCCCAACGGATCTGCCGCACCAACCCTCACATAATTCTCGTTTCTGTTATTCTCCTCCGACTGCCTGACAGCATTGTACTTCCTAAACGCGACCTGGATCAACAGCCCGACCTCTTTACGGTCCCGTCCAATCACACCCACGGCCAGCAACGCCTCGGTCTGCTCGATCCAGTCTTGCAATTTCCTGAATTCGGCCTGGTCGTGCCGCAACCGTTCGGGCAACCCCTGGCCCTTGATGAGCGCCAACACACCGGCGATGACGGTGTTGACTGCGCCTAGGACGGTGATGATGATAGCATGTTTGCCTGCTGACGGGCCGCTGGATGGCAAGGTAAAGTGTTAATTACATATCTCTGCCGAGTAGTTGGTAATCATACCATACCATAGGGGAGGAGGAAGTAGTCTAGATGGCGAAACTGAAACTCACAGAGCAGTCAACGTAGCTCCAATCAATATCTGTGCAAGATGACTGGCATAAAGCAAAACGTCGATCAGGGCATGCTTTACCCGTTTTTCTAGCTGCGCCTTCATTGTCGCCGCATACATGCCCACCGCCCGCCTGCGACCCTCCTCCAGGCTTCGCGGGTCCGACTCCCCGGCCAGGCCGCTGTTGATACCGATCGCCCGTCGGAATATCACCAGGTTCTCATCGTTGGTCCTGCGCATTGGTAGACCGGCTGGATCGCCCCAGGATAAGTTGTTGTCGGCTCTGAAAATGCCATGTTCGGCGGCCGTCATGGACCGGACGGCTGCTGCTTGAAGTGGCGTCATTGTCGGGCTAACAACGGGTGCTTTATCTGATGAACCCGTGTCGGTGCTGGATTTGATGGGTGGTAGTGGTGGTGACGAAGGCAATGTCCTGTCTTCTTCTTCTGACGTGGTCCTGCGTCTTGCTGAATCTGATGCTGATTTCGATGGGTAGCCAAAATCCACGGTAGATATCTTGGAGCTAGTGCCAAGACTGCTGCGATTTCGACTCGGCTGCTGCCGTGAAGTTGGTGTTGGCCGGACTGGAGATGATATAGTGTCGAAGCTGATGGCACCTTTGGCCTCTTGGATAAGCGGTGACTGTTCATCATCCTGTGCGGTGTCGATGTCCTCACGGTCATAGGCGCTCGTGCTTTCTGATGACCGAGATCCCGGCATATTGGACTGGGGCGCAGACGTCTTTTCTCTAGGCGGAGTACTGGTGATTCTTGATTGTACTGCGCCTGTCCGCATACCCACATTCAGATCCCTCTCCTACTTTGTTCCCTTTTGTGTGCCTGTGGGTCTGGGGTGGGCAGTTCTGTTGTCAAGACGAGTAGGGTTGTGTGTCTGAGGAGGCAGCCATCAAGCGTGATCTGCTGGTCCTTTGCCGAGAGAGATTATAGAGCATCGAAGGCAAGTAAACAGCATCGACCTTTCTGTTTCTAACGTGATATTAATATGAAAGCTTCCGACGCATTGGTTAACCAGTCACCTTGCTCAGTATCTTGTGTTGCCCAAGAGCGAGAATGTTGAAACTGTGTACTCCCCGAGGTCTCAGCCTCATCGAGTCTCTACTGGTGGACCACAAAGCCATCACCAAACCTGAACGTCACCAGATGGTCTGTAGATCTTTGAGCTGTTAATCTTGAGGATGAACGCGAAGGATTGGTTCAGCACATTCTGAAGCAAAATTTATTATGTGCAACGTGAGAAATAGTGGTCGGGCGGCGTCCAGCAGGTGAGATAAACAAGCGGATCCGGACTGTAAGTTCCACATCACACCAGGCTGTATGTTTTACCAGCCTCATGATGACTCTTGTGGGCGACTACCTGCCAGCTGTATTTCATGATTTGATTGTTGCCAGCTTACCTGCCTCGGTCCAGCATTTGTCTTCGGAAACAACGGTGTGACTGCTATTGAAACTAATCGCGGCGCCTAGATCAAAGACATCATGAAGCTTCCAAACCTCAGCCGTCAGTTTGGTCTGGAGACAGATTATATCACAGCCCTCCTCGATGCTGTATTTTGCTGACCACCTCGCCGCGGCTGAAGATTCGATCGAGCACATTCACGTTTGTACCGTTATTACTAGCAAGCCGCCCCCAGTCACCATTGGGTGACTTTGTTTTGTACCTCACCAAATTGCGGTTAATGTTCTTGCGGTCTGATAACGATATCCTTGGGAGGAGCGGTTGAATGAAAAAGTGTTGACTTCAGCTTCAAAATATGATAATTTTGGTGAGATCTGTGCACGGGTTGCTTGCCATCGACGAGTGATTGTTGACAGCATTGTCAGTAGTATCCTTGTCTTCCAGGGTCGACACGTGGACTTCATACCTGAGAAAGAAAAGGGTGGTGAAGCTTCGTCCTCAACAGAGTAATCGGAATCGGATTGTACAGGTCTACCAAGAAGACAGACACCGCACGCTGCGTATTGCACTCAAGTGATTCTACCCACAAGCTTCGTAATGGCTCTCCCAAAGGGCGACTACACCGTCAGCTTGCCCGCCTAGGATAGCCGCCTGCTTTTCTGATGCCAATTACACACGCAGTATCGCGTGAGACCGTTGCCGGCAGCAGCTCCTCAATCTTGACAAAGCCAGGCCACCGGAGTGAGCCGACCCTGACGCGATCAGAGGGGTGGCTGAAGGTGAAGCGATTTCTCCGAATTTCTCATATGCCATGATGAAAGGAATGCCGAGGCAGAACTCTCCGTTGGTGCATAGAAACGCAGCGTTAAAGAGGACGAAGCTTCACGGGGGAGGAAAGAGGAAAGAAGTGATGCTAGTTGGAAGTTGTGGGGCCCTTTTTATGGAGGGGGTTGACTGATGCTAAGGCTCCACCTGGAATCCGTGAGTGGATCCGTGAGACTAGGTCCACTTGAGCTTGCAAATGCCGGCTCCGCAATTGAAAGTTCCCGCCCGCATGGTGGGGATCCTGCCGCTGCGGCCCCGCAACCCGGCACAGCTCTTGGTCTCCACTGCGCCCGCCTACTTCTTCTTATTCAATACCTCATTCATTTGCATCTTCCTATCTACCTAAGCACAGTATCCTCACCTTGCTGTGTTATCTCAAAACACCGTTTAAACCATTCCAATACCTATTAATCAACCAAACTCGTAACATAACGTTCTTTATTGGTAATACAGGTTTGTCTAAATAGGTACTCCAGTTCGTCATACTAACTCGCTCGCCATCTGTTCCAATCCGCAACCCAAACTTTCATAAGGTTTATGAGGTAACACCATTGACCGTGATCTCATCCCGAAATTGGATACATAAGGTGTGTTGTTTAAAACTACATCGCCATGTCCAACTCGTGTATTCTAATCCAACTAGTTTCCAACTTGTGTTATTCATCCCAAGCAACTCAAGCAGCAGGACTAGGAAGCTCCTTCATTTCTTGACTACCCATATTCGTTGGCGCCGAGTGATAACTCGACCCCCTATCTTGCTCTATCTTCTGATCACTGGATCTAGGACTGCCCTTGACCGAGGCCGGAGATCCAGGAATCATATGCGCCGGCGGCGGCTTTGTCAATACTCCCGAGGCCCTGCCCTCAGATGCGAGCGACTCTCTCCTCGAATTTCGGCTTCTGAGGTGTTGTCGTGGGAGGCCTTCGGCTGGGGCTTCCTTCTTGGCCATGATTAATCCATTCGTTGTTGGTCCTTCTGATGGGTCTTTTGGAGGGAAAGATGACGAGGGACGTAGGAGAGCTTCGTTGGGTCCTTGAGATCCATTTTCAGGAGGTTGCGAGGGTGGTGGCCCTTGTCTTCCCTTCTTGATACTCTTCCATTCCATTCCGAATGCGCAGAGGAGCGAGGCGAATGCAAGACCCATGGCCGCTAGGAAGATGCGCTGGCAAGCATAGTTGTATGCGCCGATTACGCGATCTTTGTATTCAGGTGGTACTTCGTTGGTGAGCTGCGTGGCGCCTTCGTTAACGATGACATGGCCGCCGATACCAGGAATCCCGGACAGTTTCTTGACCAGGAGGTTGCTCAGGATAGTCTGGCCAACTGATGTGAAAACGGCGCCGCCCAGTTGTTGGACAAAGAAGTTAATGGCAATGCCTGTGCTGACATCTTCTTTCGGCAAAACCGTTTGGATGGCCAAACCTGAAGTCTGCATTCCAAAGCCGAGACCGAACCCTGTCAGGAACTGGAAGGCGGCCCAGTGCGAAGACGGACTGCCTGGATTCAGTGTGCTCATGAGACCCTCGCCTACCGACATGAGTGAGGGAGCGACGAGCATAGATGGTACATAGTATCCGATTTTCTGGGTGATGATACCGGCAATAATACTCGAAACGACCAGGCTGAGAACGAGCGGGAGTGTATAGATACCCGACTTGATGGGATCGACCTGCTTAACGGTTTGGACTTTTGATCGACGTTGTTGGTCAGCTATAGTTCAGATTAAAAGGGGCTATTGTTGGATACAAAAACTTACACCATATCGGTACGTAATACACCATCATAAGCATAGACCCTGCCAGGAAGAAGGTAAAGGCGGTACCAAAAGCCACGCTTCTCTGTGTGATGACCTTTGGCGGCACCATAGCCGTCTTGGGTTTCAAGATCTGGACAACAATAAAAGCCGCGGTACATGCCCCAAAGAGCGCGAAGAGGAGAATGATACGCCACGAATTCCACGCATAGGTCGAACCAGCCCACTGTAAAGCAAGCAACAGACACACGGTTCCAGGAAGGAAGAAGATCATGCCGATGGGGTCCAGCCGTTTAATATGTACTCCAGGACTAGCAGGTGGGCGCTTCTCTTTCGGTGGGTTCCAGAAGAAGACCATAAAGATGAAGCTGACAGCACCGATGGGCAAGTTGATGTAGAAACACCAACGCCAAGTGGCACCGCTCGTGAAGCCTCCGCCGATCAAGGGGCCCATAACCGATGCAATACCAAACACCATGCCGAAGAGACCTTGAAAGGCAGGCCTGCGGTGCAAGGGGACCATAGGGATCATGATCAACATGCAGCCGGAGAAGATACCGGCAGAAGCCATGCCAGCAATGGCACGACCAACGATGAATACGGTGGAGCTTGGTGCCGCGCCGCAGATGGCGGAGCCAATCTCGAAGACGACAACGCTGACCAGAAAGACCCTATAGATGGAGAGTTCTGTTAGCACAGATCCCCACTTCACTGTTCACTAATAGTATGATGAAGATACTGACCATTTCATATCATAAAACTTGTAGATGCGCCCATAGACAAGTTGAGCACACGATGTGGTTAACATGTAAGCGGAACCATACCATCCGATATCCCCCAAAGCGTTGAACTCGTCGGATATGCGCGGAACGGCGGTCGCGATAATTGTCCTGTCGAGAGCAACGAGAAACAGCGCCATAAAGTTGCACAACAGAGTCAACCAGAACCTTGGGCTCTTTGGCTTGTATAGATCTTTCTCATTTGGCTGCGGTGGCCCCGTAGGCGGCGGAGAGGGAGAGAGCTTTTCGACATCGTTTGGTTCTGCCATGCTACCAGCGCCCTTGGATTCGTCTTCCGGGCGATTGTGATGGCTTGACTTGCCACTACTACTGAGGGACGCGGTGGACTGCGAGACGGTAGCCATTATGGATGGGGGCTCGGAACAGTTGGTGGGAGGTCGCAGAAAGATGGAAAGCGAGGCGGCGGGGTCCCGTGGGAAAAGGAGGACCAGCCTGCCGGACGGGAGCGGGGACAGAGTGCGACCGAGACACTTGTTGTGATCCGATGGCTGATGGGGGGTTCGTCCCGGGGTCCTATGACAAGCAGGTCTCTCCTCGTTGGTTTTCCTTCTCGCTCCTCTTTCTCGCGTTCCTCCTCTGCTTCTCTCCTTCTTTTCGTGCTGGACACTGGCAGCCTTGGTGACGAAGGGGGCCAATTTTAAGGTCTCACAAACAGAGTTCGGATAGTCAGACGAAACAACAAACGGCCGGGTCGGCTAATTAGTCATGCCTCATCACGCCAATCATCCAGGCGTGAGGTTCCGGAATCGTGTGGTTGTTGAGATGAGACGTAACGAGGTGAGGATTAGGTGACGCACGGTGAGTGAATTGAGGGAGCCAAGCCTTTTGAGGAGATGTGGGGAGTATGTAAACAAAAAGCTGAAGACGGGAAGCAACTAAACAAGTACAACACAATCAGAGGTGCGTCAAAGATATGCTGATCCGAAAGTGCTTGCTTGCGTATGTACTAATGATATCGTCACAGAGGTATCCTGAGAATTAAAAGAAGCGTAGAAAAAAAGAAGAGGGAGAATGCAGCAAGAAAGGAAGAAAAGGCAGCGTCGCGCACGCGGTCGTCTATATAAGACCCTGTTCTTTTGGTCTCGGACATAAAAAGCAACCAGCGTGACAATTTGACAGCCTCCGGAGATGCCAGGCGACAGGCAGGCGTGGATGACGGGTGACGGCAAGTATGGGACCGTGGACCCGCGAGTTCAAGATCAATCCGTCGGACCATCTGGCTCTTAACATGCGCATCGGTCCCTTAACCTCGACCTACGGCGCCGCGTCAGGATGAATTGTGATCCGAAATACCTGGGTTACATGGACACATCCATTGGGACATGGGGAAGATCCAATCCATGAGCCCTCAGTAGGGATTTTCAAATTCCTCAGTGGTCCCCATGTATGGTCCATGTAGAGCCATGTAGAGGCATGCTGCTCCCATTCTGTCGGGAATATGCAACTTTGATATTGGATGACCGGCGCGAGATGGATGGAGGGACAGGGGAACCGAGGCAATGAGAAGAAGATGAAGGGAGGCGGATGAATGATAGGCGAATGAAGCGAGTGGTTACCTCTAGTCTACCTATCTTTTTCCATTTCGCCATCCCAAGGGCTGCTATCTTGGGCATTGAAGAGAGTGTTGGTGTTCCCATTTCCATCACTGCAATTTGTCAAAGAGGATGGAAACCTAAGATGTCGGAGCATCGGAGCTTTGGGTGCAGACTCTGCATTCCACTTACTCCACTCTGTCCTCCCTGCGCGACAATTGCCTGTTTCTGACCTGATTACCCGGACCACTCCTGCCTTACCTATTCTTTGTCCCACTATCTCGTTTACTAGCCAAAATGACATCGTGTACCTTGCGCGAAGCGAAGAAAGGGAAGGAGTTCCCCATTGCAAGATCCGCTCCTGCAGGTTCCATGAGCGTGGTGTCGTGTGGAGCTGGACGAGGGGGGGATGCGGCCCAGACGCGATGGCTTCTCAAGGGCTTAGCGTCTGAGTGTCGTACAATTAAATGGCACAGGCGGAGGTCGGCCCCTGCAAGAACCGACCTGTTTTTTTTTTTTGGTGTCGTTGCGATCTCCAGGTGGATTTAGCGGCTCTACCTAGTGCCCTATGACCCCGCCGAGTGGAGGAGGTTTGGTTAGACCCACTCTTAACCTCATTGCATTCAGGGCAAATCCACTTTTTCGCTCCTGGGCTGAATTCCTCGGGTACGAAAGAGAGCTCTCGGCCCCGAAACCAACAACCGGGGTGCCAGGAAGGTACATACCTCGTCGCGCTCCTGCATCGTCTCGTTTCACTCTTTACGCACTATCCATAGTGCCGGGATCCGTCACTAGAGGCACCAGTGCGAACATTGTTCTGAACTTGTTTGAGGGCCCGACGTCGGCCTCGAGACACCAGAGATCAAGTAGTGAACCGTACAGGTAATATAGGTGGTAATATTCCGTCGTCATGCCCGTCATGGCCATCAGAGAGCAGCAGCAGCGGAAGCGGAAGGGAAGGGCAGTGGTATGCAATTGTCAAAGGCATACAAGCGACGGCGATATCCCGCTGCCAACTCTCACGCCTTACACAGACACACGCACGCACACACACACACACACCAGAAAAAAGAAAGGGGCCAAGCATCTCGCTACCCCCCAAGGTGCGCAATACACAGTAGGGCTGGCTCTTGTCAACCTATAGCTGGCGCACAATCTGATGCGACAGCGCTTCCAAGTCCACGGCAACTGCAGTTAGCATTTTCATTCCGTTCTCTCACGCATCTTACACGCACCGATGCACAGTCGCTGTCACAGTGGCAGTGAGTGGCAGTGACAGCTGAGGACAGTTCGGAGATACACTTTGATCAGCTGCCTCCAGTCCAGTCTAGCTTCGATCCAAGGTCATAATTCTCATCAGGACGTATCGAGTATCAAGGCCGACATCGTATAGACGGATCCAGCGAGGCGTGCGCGGCCTAGGTAAGAAACCCGTGTTGCGGCGGGGAAGGACAAAGAAACCAAGTCAAGGTGGAAAGACCATAATGAAGAGAGAGGAGACCAATTTGAAAGAGGCCACGAGACTGGACCCGGGGCTGGAGGGGAACGAGCAGTCTTAAGCTGGACATTCATCATCCACAAGGCTTAGCAGTGTAAGCAGAGACGAGCGGTCAGGATGTGTGGACTTGGAGTGTCTGGACTCTGGTCAGGATCTAACCCTTTACGAGCCATACCAGCACGCCTGTTGCTTGCTTCGTTGCTTGCCTTCTCTCAGTTTCCTTAGTCCCCTCGAATTGGCTTGATTGCTACTGCTTTCTGCTGCTTCTGGCTGCTTTTCATCGCCTTGCTCCTCTCGCCAGGGCTGGTTTTGTTTGCTTGCGTCTTTTCATTTTCTTCTCGCCGAGTCATCGTCCTTTTTATTCTATTTTCTTCTTCGTCGCGTCGTTCAACACACGAAATCCACAGTATAGCACCAACAGCCTGGGACAGGAACAAGCGCCTTCAAGCACATACTATTCCAGACCACTTTATCTTGTGTTGCCGGAAGTGCATCCAATCGCCCGCTTTCCTTTTTGCAACTGAACCCCTCTGCTGGCCACGCTTTCTTCGCTATTACCGGGTCTCCTTGCCCCATCCCAGCATTCCACGGCTGCCAACGCAAAGTAGGTGCTATTGACTCCTTCTTTTTTCCCAGCGTTCGGGCACTTCGGGTGCTTCGATGTCTCTTCTGGTCCCGAGCCTCCTCCACTCTACTCTGGCACTCCCTCGACCAGCCTACCAGCAGCCGACCACAGCCTTTCGCTACCTACCTACCTCTATCGGCAGCGCACTCCCGACTATCATCCATTTACGTCTCCGGAGAATCGTGACGCATCTCTAAATCGGGAGTGGCTTTTCTGCGCCTGTCCTGCTGGCAGCAGCAGCAGCCATCAGGCCCCCGGCCTCCGGGTTCCAGATTCCTGATTCGGCCAAGGATCCAGACAGCTGAAGACCGGACACCGGACCTTGGGGACAGAAGATTGACATCGAGCGGTAGAGGTATCTGTCTGGAGATTGGACCTTGACCCTTGAACATCCAGTTGAAGTACCCCGATCCGCCCCGTCACATACTACCAGTACCTGCTTTGGCCTTCGCTGATACTACACACATCGTCCTTCATCCAGCGACAGATACATGCTGTGGACAACACTCTAATCCTGCACACCTGACTGGCGACACACACACACACACACACATACTGGCATACATACCTCACACACGGATATCCCACGTCCATCCGCAAACTCCCACTGCCTTGGCCCCTCCCTCACATCTACTTGTTGGACATTGATGGCTAAAGAAAGGTAGAAGGTACCCAACTATCACATCACCCCTTCAGTTCCTCGAGCACGCCAAGGCATCCCGCCCGCGAGTAGTGTGGTTTCAACCACGGAGACACCATCCGCCTCCCGCGTCCGCTACCAGGACTGGACTAGAGAAGACCAAAGGCCAGGGAAGCAGAATAAGGCGAGCGCAAGCTAACGGTGTACCCAATACAGGATAGCAGAGAGCTGTACAAGTTTCCTTTTGTAGCGGCTGTCCTGCGGTTCTGCACACAAGCATCTGTCTTCGAGCCGTGGGTGACCCCAGGAGTCGACCCTTGGCACGCCCACGCAGGCCGTCAAGAGAAAACTGCAGAAACAAGTGCGGGAACTGTGAGTCTGTGGTGACGCCAGCAAAGTTACCTCACCCTTGGAAATAACGGCCACTTGTGGTTGGGGGCTTGCTAGGCGTGGCCTGGTAGGCCTGGCTCAGTAGGTAGAAAGCGCTCCCACTCAACTGGCCTGGACCACGGCTGGTTCAAGTCCCGTCTCGGACCCGAGCGGCCCGTCTGCATCCGACCAAGCTTCACGGGGACCCCCGCAACACGCTTTTACATAAGTCAAGGTAGTCGACTGGTAGCCAACATGGCTTCGGAGCTTACGCCGCCGGACCAGCGGCATGACTACCTTCACCAGCACCCGCAACCCCCGTTGCCGCCCTCGTCGTCGTCGTCGTCGGAGCAGAGGCATTCCGTCGGCGTCCATTCCCTTCAGGCCGTCGCTGAACCCTCGGTGATGAAGTTGACGCGAGGCCATTCATGCGTCCTTTGTCAGCAGCGCAAGGTCCGTTGCGACAAGCAGAAACCTTGTGCCAACTGCGTCAAGGCCGGCGTCGAGTGCCGCGTTGTCCCGCCCCAGCCGCCTAGGCGCCGCAAGAAGAAGCCGCATGAGCGGGACCTCATCGACCGCCTCAAGAAATATGAATCCCTCCTTTCGCAGCATGGCGTCAACTTTGAGCCTATTGCCCACGACCTTAAAATTTCGGAATGCGTCGACGATGTTGCCGACCT